CAATAATTCCCCTTCATTTGGAATACAAATTTTGATTATAAATTTGAGTTACATAGTATTGCTCTAAAAAAAATAGTAAATTAGGTTAGGGTCCTCTTTTGGTATGTAAAATAACTTTAGTCCTACTGAATTTTTAGTATAAAAGAAAGTCTTCAATATTTTGACAAAACTTACACGCGGTTCTTATGTTGGCAGGAACAGTAAGGGGTAAGACAATTATTGTGTTTTCATTACCCATTTTACCCTCATAACATAATTTCAATCTAACGATCGGTGTTTTAGTGTACCTGTCTAATGATCTATATTTTAGTGTACCTGTTTAACGATTTGTATTTTAGTGTACATGTATGATGATCTATGTTTTAATATACTTGTTTGATGATCTGTGCTTTAATGTACTTATCTGATGATCTGTGTTTTAGTATACTTGATGTAGCTTTATAAAATATGTATTTTAAGTAGGTAATGACATTGTCATTATTTTGGCAAGTTTTTAAAGGAAATTAGTTATTTCTACTGCTTTAAATTTTCAACAAGACATAATCTAAAAGAAAATTGATGAATGGGTTTCTTTTGGGATCCTATTGGGCCTAGGACTGGCCTCCAAATCTCTCTAAACAAAATCGTTACCTTTCCAAAAATGATCCATTGACATAAATTTATTTGGATCAATGTGTAGCAATTGATTATACAAATAATAAAATAAATTTTTACGAATGTAATATTTTTATTTGATAAAAAAAGTGAATGTATGGTACCAAAAAGTTAGAACGATTTCGTAGGTCAAAAATAATTTTGAATCAATACCTAAATTATGATTATTCTTTAATGTTGTTCCCTCTTTACCGAAATTTTTAACAAAAAGGAAAAAACCATTAGTCCTTTTGCATATGGTTAGCGTGGATAAGTTAAAACTATGAAGAAACTATGGATATGCAGGTTTTGATAGGAAAAAAAATTCAAAGAAAAAGTTGCATGTTTGCAAGCAATATGAGTTTGATCTTCCATGCAGCATTGTCACCTCTTACGAATGATTATGTATATAAATATCAGCAGTATACTAAGATTAAAACAAACATTTGATTCTTCAACTTTTTCTTACTTTCTAACGTGACTATAAAATTAAAAAAATTTAAAAAAATTGCATGCACCATTTCCCCGTCAAAAATGTTTATGGAACATGTTTACGAAAGAAAATTTGCACTTTCTAACCGGTGTTTGCCATTATAAAATGCGATGATGTCATTCATCTTGCTTGGTTGTCGAGTGCAAAACACAATATATCAATATTATTGAGATTATTTCAAGACTAATTGCATAACATTCCCAATTAAACATAACGTCAAAAGTTAATTATGTATTAAATTCGTCCCATCTAGAAATCTTGATTAATGGAGACCAAAATTGGTCAATGAGTTCAAAAAAAATGCCCTTTAACTAAGAATAAAATTTCTTAATTTGAAACATGAGATTAGAATTCGACTCTCACTAACTCTCTTAAAATTTTTAGTATCCAAATCTAACACAAACTTGAAGGTTGACTTTTGTGTCAAAGCAAAATGATAGCTTTAATCACATTGGTAGGATGAAAACCATTAAAATAGAGCTACTACATGTATCCTATGCCACAAAATAGGAGTAAAGAAAATAAAAAAGACCATGACATCATTTCTAACTGCTGATTATAATAGTTTTTTTTACCTCATAATGATGATCTACAAATAATGAAAATATTGAAAATTGATCATGCCCATTTGAAACCAAAAAAAAGAACAAACAGTATAAAGCTTAAGTCAAAAAGAGATTAATCAGAACATAATTCGATGAAAGATAAACAACCATCTCGGAAAAAGTCCATATGAAAGAATAAAATACAAAAATCTAAAAAAAAGCAAAAAACCTTCCAATAAAATAAAAACTAATTCACCTTTATGTCAACAACTTACGTACAATTACGTAACTATCAAACATTTTATTGAAAACTTGAACTGATATTTGAACATTTAGAAACCACGTAAGTATACCTAAGATTTATAAATCAGTAAATAGTTTGTAGTACGTTTCTTAAATAATGAATTTCATACTCTTAGTAAATCTATTCATGTATTTTATCGTGACCAAGTCATGTTTTTTATCATCTTAAAGGTTCACTACCATAATATAAATGAGTATACCTATATAGTTGGCCTACAAGTTACACAATGTTGCTGTCAACTATCCATGACACACCTAAGCATATTGCACTTAAATATTCAGATAAGTTTGGATTATTTTATAATACCAATATTTATTAATCCTTACCTTGACATTATAAAATAAAAAATGGATAATGGGTCATCAATGTCTGATTTGATAGATGTGACTCCACACACATGCAATTGGTAAAATTATATGCACGATGAATATTTTTGGTGGGCTGGACCAAGGCCAACTCATGTTATAAGTTCAATTTGAATAAATAATATAATTAGACAAGATATAATGGATCTAGCTCAAAAGAGGTTCACGCTTAGTTAAGCTCATTAAGGTTTGAAGGGCTACATCACTAAGGGAGTAGGTCGGGTCATTCCAAGAGTCTCATCCAAATCACCTTTGAGTAAGGGTCATCCAAAAGTCTCATCCATGCCCGTCTTGGAAGAAGTCAACCAAGTCATCCTGAGACCCGGTCTTGAGAAGAGCTCCGCAACTGCCTCATCCGTTGCGAAGATGAAGCCAGCTCCACCAAATTAGTCTTTTACTTACTGATAAGTTGCCTTAATCTGTTAGAAGATGACTATAAATTATAAGCTCCGCCAACACTTGGGGGGCATCACACACAATCGAACATATCTGCTATTTTTCTCCCCAGTCTCTTAGAGCTTGTATCTCCCTACACATCTCGAAATAATAAAATACTCAGGTCATCCTAACCCTTCATAGTGGACGTAGGTCAAGTTGACCGAACCACTCTATATCTTTGCCTTGCTTGTGTTGTTCTATTACTCCTTAATTACTGCATTAATTATCAGTCACTTAACAAGTGGTGCATAAGACCAATTTGTGCATCATCAATTTGACGTCGTTTGTGAAAATCGATAAAATTCTCACCTAATCACTTTTCTTGTTGTACCTAGCGATCACCACCAGATCCATGAATCAGCCCGAAGACAATTCACCATGAGAGGAGAAGGTTGCCCCTCCACCAACCAATCATGTTCCGAACACACAGTAGATGTTGAAAACAATGCAGCAGTTTGTGACTTAGAATCAACAGATCCTGCAATTGATGCTCATTAGACAACAAGGAGGAAGAGAACAGTTTGGAGGGCATCAAGCCAAAGGAACTCTACGCCTTGGGCGTCAAGGAGCTCCCCATTTGGGAGCCCCCTTGGACACCCCATATAGGGTAACCCTTTATCAGAACCATGAGGGAGCTCCATCTCCTCCTCCAGCTCCTTCTTCCCAAGGTGGAGACTCTTATTTCCAAGAGGATGAGGGCAAGAATCAAAGTGTGAAGCATATGAGTCATTTCCATGAAAATTTCAAAAGAGTCCCAAATCACTAGGACGAAAAAATCAAAGAAGTACAAAATCAATTTGGTGACGTCTTCAATGCCATGAAGGCACAATGACCAGAAACTGTGGAGTACCTCGTAAGGCGAACTGACACACCTTTTGTGTCAGATGTGGCAAACTACCCTCTTCCCCAAAAATTCAAAACGACTTCTGTAAAAAATTTTGATGGCACAAAATACCCACTTGATCACCTTCAAACTTACAAGTCGTTAATGCAGCAACATAATGTTCTTGACGAAATTATGTGTAGGGCTTTCTTGACTAACTTGAAGGGATCTGCCCGACAGTGGTTTTCCAAATTCATCCCAATCTCCATAGGTTCCATCGTTGAACTAAGGAAATCCTTTGTAGCACAGTTCATTGGTGGACACTGCCAGCAGAAGCCTGCCACCCATCTGCTCAGTGTAAACACAGGATTGAGACGAGAGTCTAAGGAGTTACCTCACTCGTTTTAACGAGGAGGTCCTCCAAATTGAGGAGCCCAATGACAAAGTCACCATGATCGTCTTTCTGAAAGGCCTCCGCTCATCGAGTTTTCTCTTTTTAGTAGTGAAGAGACCACTAAAGAGCATGCCAACTTTATTGGAAAAAGTTCAAAAATATATGAATGCTGAAGAAATCAACAGGTCCATGCGAGGTGAATCATCTCGTGGGTTACCAAAAGCTTGACCTATCTCTGCTCTGCTTTCAAGAAGGTGGCTTATGGCTCCAGCTTAGCGGGTCACCAAAAGCTTGACCTATCTCTGCTCTACTCTGAAGTAGACAACCTATGTCTCCAGCTTAGCGGCTCTCTCGCGGGTCACCAAAAGCTTGACTTATCTCTGTTTTACTCTCAAGCAGGCAGCCTATGTCTCCAGCTCAGCGGCTCTCTCGCGAGTCGTCAAAAGCTCAGCCTCAAAAGATATAGCTCTCTCACAAGCAACCCTCAAATTCTACCTCTGTTCTCATGCGGGCAGCCTCACAGTCAGCCTACCTCCAACTTATCGACTCTCTCACGGTCATCAGAAGTTCAGTCTCAAGAGTCGCAACTCTCTCACTCGCAACCTCAAAACTCTGTTTTTACTCTCATGCAAGCAGCCTCTATTTCTCTGTAGGCCGATGTGTCTACACCTCTTTCCAGGTAATTATGTTGGATATTTTGATGTTAGAGTAATATTGTTCTTGTCATCTCTAGGCACGCTCATGAACTCAAGTCGTTTGTAACCTGATGGACTACATTATACTGAATGTCAACAATAGAGCCTCATCCTTTTTGCGGCCATCCGACACTGTTGCCTCATTGTCATAGTGCTCCTGCGCTTAACACCTAGCGCAAATAATGCGTGCGTGCTCCAAACACTAAGGATTTGACACCTGCTCCTGGCACCAACCTCATGGAGCCTTGTCTCCCAGTGCCCAGTTCCTGGAGTGCCCTTTGTGGCGCTTAACTCTTGGCGTCTCTTCTTGTTACACCTGCGCAGCCCCATGCCTAGTGTCCACCATTGCCGCTCCTAGCTCGCCTAACATCGAAGATTCCTTCAGCGCCGCCCGTTCACCAGCGAGCTCGCTAGGCCGTGCCCAGCACCCGGTGATGCTGCTACGTGCTCCTTTGGTCGAGCCTAGCCTATGTTGATGCCCTCTCCATGATCAGCACCCCCACCAGCCAACGTCCATAGTGTCTCGCCTTCAGCGTCTTGGGTAACCTCCCTTGGCAGAGCCCATGGCGCGTCACCCTCAGCGGTGCCCATGACGCCTCGCCTATGGTGCCTTCGCGCCATCCTCAAAGTCTAGTCGTGCCTTTGGTGCCTTACCATCAAAACCCACTTGTACTCCCTCATCGCCCTCGACGACCATAGAGCACCTAGGCTTACCAACACCTGTTGCCTTGTTGACGCCAGATTCGACGTCGATTGCTCCATCGTTGCCTACCCCCTCTCTGATAACAATGACTTCTTACATCTTCTATTCTTCATCCGACAGCGATCTCCAGTCACCTAGCTCATGGGTAACCTCCTCTGGCCTCACTCCACTTGTAGCACTCATGGTCATAAACCATATCAAGAAGGAAAAATGGTCATCAGTCAAAAGGAGTCTCCGTCAACCAGAATTCAGATTCAACCAAATTCCCTCTTCTCCAAGTTTCAGTAGACACAGGACATTGAAGGGCAAATGATGGGTCAGGCCCAAGGGGCCAACTCATGTTATAAGTCTAGTTTGAATACAGAATCTAACTAGACAAAATCTAATGGGTTCAGCCCAAAAGAGTTTCACGCCCAGTCAAGCTCATTAGGGTTCGAGGGGCAACATCACTAAGGAAGTAGGTAGGGTCATCCCAGAAGCTTCATCCAAGCTACTTTGGACTAAGCATCATCCCAAGGACTTCATCCAAGCCACCTTGGAGTAAGAGTCATTCAAGAGTCTCATCGAAGTCAACTTGGAGTAAGAGTCATTCAAGAGCCTCATCCAAGCCATCTTAGGGTAAGGGTCATCCTAAAAGCCTCATACAAGCCACCTCGGAGTAAGCGTCATCCCAAGAGCCTCATCCAAGCTACCTTGGAGTAAGGGTAATTCAAGAGCCCTATTCACACTGCCATGGAAGAAGTCAACCAAGCCATCCTAAGACCCAGTCTTGAGGAGAGCTCCACAACTGCCTTATCCATTGCGAAAATGAAGCCAGGTCTACCAAATTAGCCTTTTAGTTACTGATAAGCCACCTCAATCTGTTAGGAGGCGACTATAAGTTGTAAATCCCGCCAACACTTGGGGGCATCACACACAATTGAGCACATCTGTTATTACTCTCCCTTGTCTCTCATAGCTTGTATCTCTCTGCTCTCCCTACACTCCTCGAAATAATAAAATACCAAGTCATCTTATCCCTTCATAGTGGACGTAGGTCAAGTTGACCGAACTACTCTACATTTTTGTATTGTCTATGTTGCTCTCTTACTCTTTAATTACTGCATTAATTATCAGTCACTTGACAATTGATGCATAAGACCAATATTTGCATCATCAACTTTGTACAAGTTAATTACAAGGTTAGTTGTCATAGTGACAAATCCCAATACAAATAAATATAAGCGAGTGTCATGCATTTCTTCTTACAGGAAGAGGCTATGGTACCGCCCACTCAAAATTTGGTACCATACAGAAAAGGCGTGGGGCATTGCCGGACAAAAGTTACTCACTAAATGTGATAATTTTACCTATAAAAATTTTATCATTTAAAAAAAAATTGTACCATTTTTTTTAAAAATTATAATATTACCTATAATAGTTATAATTTTATCTCTAAATATGATAATATTATTTTAAAGGGTTGTAAATTCACCTTAAGAGTTCGTAATCTTGCCGCCATTTTTATTGAAGTACTTTTACCATATGGATTTTGTTTAGAAAAAAAAAATATAACTTTTATACGTAAAACTATCACCTTTTGTAACCTTTATCTGACAAAGTCCCACACTTTTTCGGTATGGTACCAAATTTTGAGTGATCGGTACGATAATCTCTCCCTATCTTCCCTTGTTTCCCTATCTTCTATCTAGTGTCAGAATTGTTTAGTGCCATTAGAAGGTCTATCTTCTTTATGCTTGGTCTGTGATTATTTATTTTTTATTTATTTTTCTTTTGGGGAAGGGAAATGATTGCAGCAGTAAGTTTGACGTGCAATGAATGGAGCAGTGGGCATTACCTACGAATCCATTTTTGAAGAGCCTATCCTGATGTGCAATATTAAACAGTAACCACTAAGTTGGTTGATTTTTTTAACACATGGGTTTTGTTTTATTTAGTAGACAAGTGCTTGGGTGAGATTTCATGCCACATATTATTGGAAGGATAGCACAAATTAGTATCTATGGTACTATGTCGTATGGTGTCTGCTGGCCTAGGCCATGGGAGAGCATGTAGTCCTGGAACCGCTTAGGGTCTATTTGATATATTTTTTGGGAGGGGTTTGAATTGAGTTGTTCAAACTTGAGTTTTGACCAAAGATGAGATTCAAAGAAGGGATTCAATATTCAATATTGTTCATACTTTTGTTTGGTATGCACAAGAATATATGACTATTATAATAATATATTTATAATTAAATTACTATTGTACCCCTTAACTAATTTAATTCAAACATGAGTATGAATATGTGGGGAGTATAACTATCATTTGAATGTGAAACCCCCAAATTTATATATGAAACCCATGAATAAGAGTTTTATGACCGAGTCAGATTTCAAAACCTAGACTAAATATATAGTTACCAAACATGAGTTTAAGGGGTTTAGTCTCCAACCCATATTCGAAAACCCCCCCAAACTCATATACCAAACAGTTCCTTGTGGTTTTACTTTCTCGATACACAAATAATTACATAAAATACCATAAAATACATAAAATTCAAAGTTCTTTTGCTTTTTACATAGGGCAAAGTGTTGACTTAGGTTGCTGGTATACAAATCGATGAATACAAAGGCAACATCCCACATTCACCGTTATCATATGAACACGTATTCAAAAACATATATCTCCTCATTGAACTCTGAAGTTGGATGCCCTCTACAAAAGTGTTTCTATATTAGTAGTTGTGAATTAAAGAAGGGTCCTACTATACAGAGTACATTGCCACGTGACTCACCTTGATTGGACCCATGACTTCAATGTGCTGCAGGGCACATATTTGCACCCAGATGTAAATTGAGAATATGAATGAACGGTGAATGAAAGAAGAAGAATTGATAGGTCTTTTCGTTGGATCTACATGAGTTTTTTTGGTTTGTAACTTATGTGGAATATGACGTGGATTAACCAATGCATATTTGTATTCAATGTCTATTAGATAAGGATTAAAGTGACTTTATCAGATAATTTAGGCATAAAATAGAAAAATATAAAATTTTCAACATAACCTTTATATATAGATATAGATAGTTTGGGCAGAGAGGAAAGTACATAAAGGGTCATTTGGATAATTAAATACATAATGACATAATTGTCTTTAATCTTTTTTATAGGGGCATTATGGGCAATCAAATTTTTTTAGTTTTATTGACTTTTCATAAGAAAAATAAAAAAAATTTAACATAACATTTATATATAGTATATATATAGATAGTTTGTATGGAGAATGAAGTATATGAAGGGTCATTTGAATAGTTTATTGGAATTGTATAATTAAATACATAATGACATAATTGTTTTTATAGGGGCATTATGGGCAATAATTTTTTTTTACTTTTGTTGATATTTTATAATAGTATAGATATAGATATATATTTTTATAGGGGTATTATGAACAATTAATTTTTTTTACTACATTTTATAGTAAGATAGATATTGATTATAAATTGTGCTCTACTTTAATGTTTTTAACAATAAAACATGAATCATACAAGTTTTCTCTTTTTACTCCAGAAACCTAAAACAGTTTATGTTCACAATTTTTTTGGTAATTAAAAATTGAAAATGTTACCAAATACCACATTATTTTTAAATTTTTTTTATTTAATTAAAAAATAAAACTTGTTCCAATCAAATTCATACTACTCCCAACTTTTCCAACTTCTCACTAAAGCAAACTCTCCAATTTTATGACTTACCCCCATTAACTTTTCCTTTTCTCATCTTTAAGCTCATCTTCCCTATTATATTCTCTCTTTTGCCACTAGAAAAATAAGAAGTTGAAGGAAGCCAGATAAAAAGAGTGGATGGAACCGGAATATAAATTATAGGATAAGGCTAATGTACTTCTGAAAAAAATTTAGCTATCGCATTAAAAATGATTGAGAGTCGTTGATCATCATTTCATTCATCTTTTGACATATTGTTTCACATTGCCCCAATCGTAAACATTCGTTATCTTTTTGTTTGAAAGTTACTCATGTATTGGGGTAAAGTAAAATAAACTACACAGCTTGGGGGTTAAATGAAATAATTTTTTGTTAAATATGTAACGAATGGGACAGTGTGAAACAAATACTCCTTCCGTTCCTAAATATTTGTCGTTTTACACAATTTGTCTTGTTCCATAATATTTGTCGTTTTATGAAATCAAAGCATAATTAATATTTTTTTCTAAATTTACCCTTATCTCTATTCTCCAATAAGTGCTTAAAAGATTAAGTGTAGGCTAAGTGCCTTTCATATTTCTTTTATTCCCAATACGTATTGAATAAGAGTATTTTATTCTTGTACAATTATTTTTTATTCATACTAGAGCTATTTAATGTCTTCCTTAATTCATGTGTAAAAATCTTAAATGACAGATATTTAGGAACGGAGGGAATAATAAAGTTAGAAAAACACAGTGAAAATAATTCATAGTTGAGGGGTCAAAATATAATTTACCCAACTTTTTATACTCTAGCTAAACCCTAAATTATGTGTATGGTAGCTTTCAATAAGTCAAACTACTAAAATTCATACGCCAGCTATTTTATTCCTATGATCCAAGCAACCAAAAAACAAAAAGAATTTTATTCCTCATTTCTGACGTTAAATCATATTATATATATTGGACGATTGACACTTTGTATTTAAATTTTTTTAAAAAATTACTAATAAGTTATTATTTTTCTCCATAAACATCCATTAAGTTCTATCACTTTTATTTTATATCAATGAAGACCTACTCTTGATAATTTATTTGAATAAAATTCTAAATTTCATAATTACTATATTTTGTTTCAATTTTATCATCCTCTTAGACAAATGTTACCACATAAGGTATTGGAGATATAACATTAGTTTTATTCTATTCATATATACTCCGATTTTTTGTGTTTTAAATGATGTATTGCCTATTTTCATTATGTATTATCATTATGGGATGCAACAGAGGACTTCGAACCCTATGTATTCTCGATGGAAAAGAGTTTCGCGACGAGAACTCTAGTGCATTGTGTTTTTAGAATTATGATTG